TTTTTTTTTTTTTTTTTTTATATTGTTTTTTAATTGGTAAAAAAACTGAAACCTTTGCCCGGATGATCTTTTTTATTGAGGTCCACCCAACCTGAATTAAGTTTTTGACATTGTTATTACTTCAACATTTATTTGACATTAAAAAAATTAAATTATTTTTTTTATTGTAAGACCTTATATAATTACCAAACAAATTAAAAGAACATTTATTAAATTTATATTATCTTTTTTAGTTTTATTATAAAGAATTCATGGGCGATTTTATATTACAAAACAGTTTAACCCCCAAATGAATATTCAAAAGATTATGATATTCTTTACCCCTCATTTGAACTACATACATTTTGTACATTATGACAAAAACTTTAAAAAATAAAGCTCCGAAATTATTAATAAAAAAAAAAGAGCTCCGAAAATACTTTCCCCGATTATTAAACCATTTTAAAATGAATTAATGTAAATGAGGGGGTAAACAAAATTTATTTTAAAGAATTTAAAAATAAAAGATTGGAATTAAATGAGGGGTAAATTATTTTAAAAAACAAAAGTATTTAAAATAAATGGTTTAAAGATTATTTAGAATAACAAATAAAAATGTATTACAACTAGATACGCATGTAAATATTTTAAAGATAGCATTATAATTTTTTTTTGAAAAAAGAAAATAATTTTTTTTTTATTCATTTTTATTATTTATTATTATTTATTTATTATTATTATTATTATTATTATTTTCATGTACCAGACATGTTGATGATGGAAAAAATTTAATTAATTGTTATGTATTATAATAAATTACCCGTAATCTATTTTTAATAATTAAATAATAATTAAAATAATATTTAATAAAGAACAAAGATTGAACAAAATAAAAATAAAATAAAAACAAAAATAAAATAACAATAAGCAGGGAGCACCGATCAATGAATAATGCTTGGACATCTTAATTTAACTAATTTAACAAGCTATAATTTGAACCAATTCTTTAACAAACCGAAGTTTGAGAAACAGGCCAAAATTTGGGAGTCTGGACAACAAAAGTCAAAATTTTGGACAATAAGCCATAATTTGGATAACAAGCCATAGTTTGATCCATATAGTAATTAACAAGCCATACTTTTAGCCAATTCTTCAAAATCATTAATAGTCAAATCAAATTCATGATTGGCTTGACCACCAAATCCATTGGTTTCTTCTTCATAATCGTTGGTTTCTTTATTCTTATCCTCATCATCATAATAATCTTCACGTTGTACGAGAACAGTTTTTAAACCTAATTTTTTTGCATTCTTTAAATCACTTTTAATATGAGATACTATAGCAACTTGTTCAGGGCGTAAATTTAACATTTTACAACAATCCAAATATACTTTAGGATTAGGTAAATAACATTTCCAAATTTCGGCAGAAAACATATAATCAAAACAATTTAAATCAGCATTTCTTTTTAAATCTACCAATAATTTAACATTAGCATTACTTAAAATAGCGTTGATATATTTATCACCAAGTCTAGTTATTCCAGGTACAGTATCTTTATAAGGATCTAAATTATGCCAAAGATTAACTAAATTTTCCAATTCTTCATCAGACCATAAATGAACTAAATCAAATTCAGTGATTAATTTTTCTAAAATTTGTTCATTAAGAGAATCAACTGTTAAGAACTGAGCTTTTCCTGAATTTGATGAATTAATATATAAATTATAACCATTTCTCCATTTTTGTGTAAATGAATGCCAATCTTTATTTAATAAAGTTTGATTAGAGATTCGAGTTGAAGTTAAAGTTGCGAATGATGATAATTCTTGAGTTAATGTCGTTCTCCAATCTACTATTGTACCAAATACATCAAAAAGGAATGCTTTGACTTGTATCATAGAATCTGGAATATCTGCTGATGCCATTTTCAAAAAAAAAATTGTATGTATGGATGAAGATGTGAAATTATTTTTTTTTTAAAAAAAAAAAAAATTTAATAATTTGAAAAAGATTGAATAATTTCGAAATTGATTGATTAATTTCGAAAAAGATTAAATATTTTCGAATTTTTTTTTCTTAAAAATATTTTTTTTTTTTTTTTTTTTTTGATTTGATTTT